ATATCAAAGGTGTGCTGCCCAGCCTTGTCGAATCTCCCTTGCTGCCTGGAGCCCTCCATCCCACTCACCTGGGCCAGCTGGTCCTCAGCCAAGACAGTCCCTCGCTCCTTATACTTGGCCTGTCAGACAAATAGACCAGGATGAGTTGAGAGAGTGGGTGCTGGGGGCTCCCACTTGTACTGCCTCCGGAGAAGTATTAAGAGGGTCTCGCAAATGGTTTTTCTTAGGGAGAGGGGGTGAGGAAGTAGAATAGACGACTCGTCTGTGGTCAAATTGGGGGAAGTGGGGGAAAGGGCTGATGGATCTAGGGATGCTGACATTCCAATCCACCGGAAGCTGGAGAAACTCAATTCCCCGGGACCGAGAAACCCGCGTCAGATTCTGTTGGGAGGCGATTTGAGGGTACAGAGCTCTGCGCGGACAGACTTCTGCCTCTCGCGGGTCTGGAGTGACTGCAGGGCCCGCCTCCTTCCCCTCACCTCCGCAAGCTTCTTCTTGGCGATGGCGCCGGCTCCCACTCCGCGGCGGTGCATCCCCACCGTGGCCCGCGGGCCGCCCCGCTACCGGGACCCCGGGTCTCCGCGTCCCGGGATCCTCCACCAGCTCCGCGACGCGGATACGCAAACTGGACGTCATCTCCGCGCGCCGGAAGCTACGCCCAGACTTCCGGCCGTGGGGCTGAACTCCCCCACCGCCAGGGGCCTAGCGGCCCCGCCTCGTGCTCCAGCCAGGATCCGCAAAACTGTTTGCGGACCAGCGCTCCCCACCTAGGTGGGCGCCTCGGACCCTCTCGATTTCATGGAACTGCCCCTACCGCCACCCCAGCCTGCAAGTGAAGGTCCGCCGCTGCTCACTGGCCGTCTGTTGCGTGCGACGCGCTGAGTTGGGCGCCGAGTGTTCCATATTAAACATAAAACAATCCGTTCTACGCTAATGGAGCTTGCCTTTTGGAATCACACGTAGAGCTTCTGACTGGGGAAGGCCTTACAGTTAAGAACTTGGACTCTGGAATTAGTTTACCTGGTTCCATAGCTCACTTCCACTACGTATGGTCCAGTAACTTAAGGCAAATTCCTTAATCTCTTTGTGTTCCATTTTCCACAGTTGAGAAAGAGTAATACCTACTCATGAAGTTATTGTGAGAATTAAGCCAGAAAATATATAACAAAGCATTTAGTGCAATGCCTGGCACATAAATAAGTATCAGCTATGTTTGTTATTCATCAGGTCTGGGGTGAAATCAGTTATCTGTGTGTTTAGGAAGTTCCATAGGTGATTTCCATAGCATTATTGAGTCTTACAAAAAAGGAGCCAAGGGAGGTTTAAGTCAGGGAGTAATATCAAAATTTTGTTATAGGAAAATTAGTGGCAACCTAGACTTAATTTTAAGTCAGTTGTAGCAATGCAAAGTAGAAATGATGAGGGCCAGAACTAAGATGGTGGCAGAAAGGATAGAGAGAATGCGACAGATTCCAGACAAAGTAAGAAAATGGGATGGTAAAACTGATGAGATGGGGGCAGAGTGGGTGGGAAAAGTTAGCAGGATGTTCAATGTCCTGGCTTGGGCAACTGCGTGGTGCCATTCAGAGACAGAGGTAGGAAGAGACCACAGGATGAAGCTGAGGAAATAAGAGTGGTTTTGAATATGTTGAAATTGAGGTCTGTGGGACATCCCAGGAGAGATGGCCAATTGTCACTCAGATGTACTGGTATGAAGTTCTACAGAAGGAACTGGGCTACAGATCAAGGCAAAACCATGCATGTGAATAATGTTACCAGAGAGGTTTAAAGTAAAAGGAAAAAAAGAGGATGGGAGCAGGGACTTCCCTTGCTGTCCAGTGGTTAAGACCCCATGCTCCCAATGTGGCAGGGGGCAGGGGGGTGGGGGTGAGAGAAGGAGTTCGATCCCTGGTGGGTGAACTAAGATCCTGCATGCTGCACCATGCAACCTAAAAAAAAAAAAAAAAAAAAGAGGATGGGAGCAGAGAGATCGGTGGCAGGATATTTAGTTGCCATTTTGGGCCTTGAGGGATGGGGGAGCCATGAGCCAATGAGTCTGGGTCCCTGAGGATTTCACAGAGCAAGCTGTCACACCAGCTCCGGGCTGCCTGCCTCTGGGTGTTTACGAGAAAGAGAAATAATGCTCTATCTTGCTAAAAATATTTAGCACTGTTATTTGTGTTTTTCTGGATTTTGAAAGAATGACCAAGGCTGAAACAATTATTTAGGCTATCATAGTCCTACCTTCCGATTCACTCTGATACATACCCTTAGACACGAAACTCAGATAACATAAGCCCCCTTAAACACAAACTTACTTTCTCAGACACAGATTTGTCCCCTCCCAACACATACATTTGACACCCTCTCATACACATTGACTTCCTCCATTATACCCTGTCTATGAAAAACGCATTAGCCTCATGTATGCACACACTGACCTCATATTTTCATATTCTTACTACACCACTCCCTAACACAAAAACTCCGTCCCTTAGGTGCCCACTGACACTATCTAGACACACCTGCCTCACTTCTCACTCTCTGACTCACACTGTATGACTCTTTAAGGTATACACACTGATCCCTCACTCACACTCATGACTTCAGATTTAACTATTCAGACCCTCAAATGCACACATACATACTCCCTGAAGTACACACATTGACCCTTGATAAACTTCATTGCCACCCTCAAGCAGACATGTCCGTTCCCTTCCTCAGACACATTTGTTCTCCTCTATAATTTAAGAGAAAGTATGCTGACCAGTAATGTGCTGGTAAATGTTTAACAATCACCTCTCCAGGTTGGGAGGGCGGTGCTCTGGTTTATATCATTTGCCAATTTCCATAGTGTAAATACTCTGACCGCAGCCTTTGGAGCTATTGTTTCAAGCTATGGATGGTTTTACAGCCTGCTCACAGAATTCCTGACAATTTCACAATGACTCTCAGAAGCACTCTGCCCCAGTGCACCACTGAATGTGACCGTCACAGATGCTCTCAGTTGCTTTAAGTGACTAGTGAGTCATTGGCCTTATGGCAGAGTGGCTAAGAGCATGGGCTTTAACTCTCCGCCTCAGGGAGGCAGTGTAGTGCACGGTTGACAGCTATGATGCTATCATTACCTCGAAGGACTGTGATGAGGCTTTAAATGAGATCACCATGACTTTTTTTAAATGAGATCACCATGACTTTTTTTAAATGAGATCACCATGACTTTTTTTAAATGATGTTTCTAAATCTGAATAAAAGCCAAAAAAAAAAAAAAAAGAATAAAAAAACAAAAGTTGAAAAGAAAATGGCGTCTCAAAAGTACTGAGCACTAATGCCTGGCCCGTAGTAAGACAGTTGTACAACATTTTTTTAAATAACACTTACAGATTCACTGATTCACAGAGACACCCAAGACTACAGAAATATAGATCTGAACTCCTCCCCGGTACAATCAGTTCTATCATGGAGAATCACTAAAATATAACTTCTGAGCAGAGGCATGCTCTAAATTGTGTGGTACACACTCTTAGAACTCTAGGAGTTTAGAGGAGAGGAAAGCCCAAAATGTTAAGAACTGGAAGAGATTGCAAACTGGCAGCCCTCAGGCAAATTCAGTTCTCCAGAGAGTTTTGTTTGGTCATCAGAATACCTTTAGGGGCACATTTCTTTTCCATTTTCACAGTCCCAATCCTTCCCCTTATTTTACACACTCCCCACTTTGCTTATTTAGGTTACTGGCCCAGCCATTCAGCCAATCCAGTTTGCCACTCCCTGATTTTAAACTAATACCCCAGTGTTTTTAAACTGAGGTTTAAGTGTGTGAATAGTAATAACAAAAGTTAACTTTTATTGACCACTTACTTTGTGCCAGGCATTATTTTTAAATACTTCGACCCTATGGAGTGAGTACTTTTTAATCTTTTCCAGACAGCAAACTGAGCTTCAGAGAGAGAGGAACTAACTTGCCAAGTCACAGACCTAGAGAGTGATTTGAATCTTGGTGTGTTTGACTCTAGTATGCTAAAATATGACTAGATCGAGGGGAGAGGAGGGGACATTAGGCAAAGGTAACCTAAACTAAGCGGGAAAGAGAGACAGCCTTGCCTTCTGTGGATGCAGGGCACTGGGAGAAGGCAGCATGCCGAGGTGGAAAAACATTAAACACCGGAAGAAAGAGGTATTGACTTTTGGACAAACTGAGTTCTCCCACTTGCCTTCACCTTCACTGGCAACTCCCTAGTGTGAAATCTGGGCTCCCTTAAGAGCCTCTTCCACATTCAACCCTCTTCAACTCAATCTACTTCTCACCATCATCAGTTTGATTGTTCGGGGTTGCAGATAGATCTTCTCTGACCTGCCCCTGCTTAAAATCCTTCAAGTACTTGTCCTTGCACTGAGGCTAAACTCTCAAAGCCCTAACATGACCTTTGAGGCCCCACCTCTGCCCACCTGCCCAGTCTCTACTTGTGCCGTTCTCACGGTTGCCCAGTTTGCTGTGCAACAATAGCACTGGCTAATATTTATGAAGGCTCCCGTCACCCTTTGGCCATTTTATCCTTCAAATCTCACACAGCTTCAACGTCATTTTCTCAGAGAGGCCCCTCCTGACTGCCCACTCCAGCTAGATGAGGCTTCTCTGTCCTCTCACAGCTCCCTAGCGTTTCTTCACATAACTCTGCATGTTATGTAATTATTAATGTGTTTGTGTGTTTAAAGATTCAAGTCTGTCTCCACCACTAGACTGTAAACCCCTTGGGGACAAGGATTGTGTTTGTTTCCATGATTGCTGTATACCCAGCGTTCAGCACAGTCTCTGCCTGTGTTAAGTTTCCAATAAGTGTTCGTGGAAACAATAGATGAATGAACAGATGGGTAAGAGCCATATCTCCTTTTCACCGGGTGGTGCACACACAAAGACAGATGCACAGTTAGTGCTCAGTAGACACGTGAATGTTTTTTGACAATGGGCACAAAGATTTATTTCAGCTTGAACTTAGTTTGGTTTCTTTGGGGTATCCTGGGGTGGAGCTGAGGCAGGAGCTGAGTGAGTGAAGGACAGAGTCCAGTTCTGAGCTGGGTTTGGTCAGAGTCACTGAAACCTGTGTAGAGTGGAGAGAGGAGTGGAGCAGTAGAGAGGAGGGTCAGTATCGGCTTAAAGGCAGCAAAGTAAATGTATCCTGGCACCCAGCCATAGTTCAACTGCTCCTACCTCCAAATTACCTCTTTAATTATAAGTAATCAAAATGATTCCAAAAAGCACAGAGACTGTTACCCACTTTCCTGTGGAGATTTTCTCATACTCTCTTCCCCATTGTTCAGGTCACATGCCTCTCTTCCTTCTAACCCTCTTACAGGAAGCCATCCCAGATTTGTTCCCTCAGTCCCTCAACTTCCCAGCACCGAAGTCTGAATTTGTTTTGGTTTCTGTGCCTCGGTGTCTGCATCTTAAATGAGTGTCCTGTCTCACCATTCGGGTGGGTGGATCTCTCCATGGTATTGAGCCATCCCTTGCTTCTGAGACATAATAGATTGAAAGACTTCCTAGCTTAGGAGGAGGATTTGAGGACTATTGAGATCAGCAGCAGCTACAGAGAAGGGCAACGTGCCTGCAACTCTAGGGGTTCCATCACTGAGAAGGTGCCATGGCACAACGGTACCAAGGAAAAGCTAAGGTTAGGATGGGCTCGGGTGGGTAGGGCAGGTGAGAGCAGCATCTCACCTGGAGGAAATTGAGGAAGATGTACAAGTGGTACTAATAACTGTCAAGGTTACCAAACTCTTAGTACTCTGTAGATGTTGATTTCAGCCTTTTCCTTGAATTATCTTATTTAAACCCCACCAAATCCCGTGAAGTGATTTAAGTAGCCCCAATTTTCACAAAAACCCCAAGGTTCAGAGAGTCTAAGTAATTTGTCAGCATGTGTTGAGGTGAAGATCTGAACCCATGTCTGACCCCAGAGTGCAAGCTCACAACCACTATGCAAGATGCCCAAAGCTACCAAACTCCCACCTGAGCCTGCAGAGCTCCATCTGATCCACTATCCAGGACAGCAGCTCTCGAATCAGTAAATCCTTTAGCAAACCGTCATCACTGGGGTTCTTGGGTAGGGAGCTACAAAGGAGAAAGCCTCAGGCAGGCGCCTTTAGCCTGGGCACCACCCAAAGAGAGTAAATACTGGACCTGGGACTGCAACGTGGTGGGACAAGGTGGGGTGGGGGTGGGGTGTACGAGTCAACACAGCTGCCTCTCAGTTGTCTCAGCTTTCAAAGCTCCACCCAGACCTGTCGGCCAGGGAATATAGGCTCTTCCATACAGGCAAAGACAAACATTTCTGGTGGGAGTCATCCCACCCATCCACCTCTCCAAGTGTCCCAGAGTGCATTCCAAAACCCCAAGAGATTACTTTGGGAATATTCACTCTTTAGAAGGATCTGTGTCATCAATTCCTCAGCTTCCTACAGAGACGGGGTAACTGATTTCAGGGGACTGGCCTTCAGAGGGTCCCAGTTTCACAAAAGCCTTCCTGAAGTTTGGCAGGCAGAAGTGGAGAAGCCAGTTTCCGAGGTCTCTTTTTTGCCCCACTCCTGGACTTGGTGTCTCTGCACACTAAGTCATCAACCTTAGAAACTCTGGCCCCAGATTCCCTCCCAGGACCCCCACCCCCATTCCTCCCAGGCTTTCCCTTAGGCTTGGGCTGTCCTCCAGGAGTTCTGTGAAGACCCCTCTTTGAACTCTGAGTAAAAGGGGATGCTTATCTGGGGCCTAGCCCTTCTCTGGAGTCTGGGAGAGGGAGCAATGAGGTGGGGTCAAGAGGCGCCCCCGGCCCCGACCCCTTCCCCCGTGGGCTGACTCACCCCTGCTGCGCCCTTGCCTCCTCCTTCCTGTTAGATTGATGGGCCAGCTGTAGGGCCCGGGCCTCCCTCTGGGTGATGTTGTGTTTCCAGCTGGTAAAATAAAGATTAGGGAGTGGGTGGGGCCAGGCGGGACTCCAGATGTTCTCCAGCCCAAAGAAGCTCCAATCTTTTGGTACCTCAACCCAAGGAGCAGAGGGGACCTCTTTCTCTACTCAGTCTCCCCGCTGCTTGTCTTCAGCTATCAGTGACAAGCTTTTCAGGAGCTACCATGCTGGCCAAACAGTGAGAGCAGGGGAAAAGATTTTGCATAGAGAAGAACGATGAAAGCAGTTTATCCTATTTCCAGAATAGGAAGCTGCCACCACCAAGTAGTCATTGGCAGCAATTCAGCTCCCCTGGTTCATCCCCAGCCCCCCGGGGATCCTCTGTGAGTCCCATACATCTTCCCGACCCCTCCTCTTAGAAGAAAAGGATTGGAAAATTGCCCAAATCCTGCCCCACCCTCCAACCAGACTGCTGCCTGAGCCAGGGTCCCAGGCAGGGCGGCCATGCGGTCCAGCTCCCCAGCAGCACCGAAGCGAAAGGTGCCACCTGGCCTTGTGCATCACACGGGGGCACAGGGAGCAGGGAAGGGCACGCATGACTCACTCGCTCTTCTTTCCCTTCTGCGCCAACAGCCAGTTCACAAAATCCTGTTGGCGGATCTTGTCCATGGCGATGCTATAGTCACTGATGAAAGTGCCTTCGGCGTACCTGGGGCCTCGTGGTTGGGAGCCGCTGGCCTTAGTGTGGAACCTGAGGGGCAGGGACAGGAGAGAGAGGGAAACCAGGATGCCATAGAAGGAGCAGAGGGTGCGAAGATAAATGATTGTCAGCAGCAGGAGGCTGATATTTGGAAAGGAGGCAGCCCATTTCTAGGGGGTCAGTTTTTATGGAGACACCCACTTGTCCATGCATCAAGCCCCTGGGGTTTTATCCTCAGCTCAAGCACCACTTCCAGCATCCTCAGTGTTTGAGGCTCTGCTTCTGGTCAAAGATCAGGGGTCCCCCTCATCCCTAAGGACTGAGCCACAGTTGTCTCCTTTGCTCCCCTTGCCCTGGCCCCACCAGATTCAGTTCTTTGGTTCTCAGTTTCCTAACAATAGTGAGCTCTCATATAACAGCACTTATATATGAGTCAGGTCCCCTACAAGTCCTCTAATACAGAAACTTACTGAATCCTCACACCACCCCAAGGAGGTAGACACTATGTATACCTCCCTTTGGTAAGTGAGGAAACCACCGTGCAAAGAGATTAACTTAGCATACAGTGTAGGTATGATCCAGGGTTTTACCCCAGGTAGTCTGGGTCCAGGTCTATGGTCTTTAACTGCTGCATGATGTTGTCTGTCCTTGTATACGTGTGACAGCTGCGTCTCAAACTTAGCCAAGTTGACAGGGGCATATGGCTTGTCCTTGCATATGAGAAGGCCTAACTCTACTCAGACACGTCTCTCTTGGTCTCCCGAACACACAAACAGATCTCCCTGCTATATTCATTCATAATCTTCTCTGCCTTTTCTTCACAGCGCTCATGACAGTTTGAAGCTTTGCCTAGATGGTTCTTTGTCTGCTTTCCCCTTGGGCCTATATGCTCCACAAGGGCAGGTGGCATTTGTGGACCACTCTTCAGGTATATTCCTTGTGCCTGGCACACAGGAAGCCTGCTGTAAAATTTGATCAAATGCACACATAAATGACTGGTTAAGGCTTTCATTAGGAAGGGAGATGCTATCATCTACTTCAGACACTTAACCACTGAGAAGTCCTTCCCGAGATCTAAGCACAATCTCTCCAGCTACAACAGTAGCTCGTAAAAAAGACTCACTGGGGCTTCCCTGGTGGCGCAGTGGTTGAGAGTCCGCCTGCCGATGCATGGGACACGGGTTCGTGCCCCGGTCCGGGAAGATCCCACATGCCGCGGAGCGGCTGGGCCCGTGAGCCATGGCGGCTGAGCCTGCGCGTCCGGAGCCTGTGCTCCGCAACGGGAGAGGCCACAGCAGTGAGAGGCCCGCGTACCGCAAA